TCTTTGGGCGTTTTCAGCCGAGCCCGGTGCTGACCCGCCGGCTTGCCGGGCGGATTGCAGCCTTCTGGCGTCAGGCCTTTCCCCTGTCACCCCTGGGGACCCCGGGTGCTGCTGTGTAAAGTCGCTGGGTTGGAGAAGGCCCGGTTCCAGCTTTGCTCACGTCTTTTAAAATATCTTTTTGTCTTTTTTGTTTGTTTCTTTTAGATTAAGTTATATACAAAACATGGTACTCTGAAGTACCAGACAGATTGCGCTCCAAACAACGGGTATTTCATGATTCCCCTCTATGATAAGGTAAGAAACTGAAATACCAGAGCTGTCTCCTCTGCGCTGGAGGCAGGAGCTGCCGGCAGATTAAACGTCAGCACGACACCCACCCGTGAAATATTTGAGTCAGAACAGAATTTAGTTTTGGACCAAACTTAACTGTTTCTTTTTGTAACACACCTGTTTTATTTCTCAGTGCTGAGCATTATTGTGAGAAAAGCCAGGTAACTTTAGCTGCGGTGTTGCGTTTGTGCTGTTTATCTGAATGACTGGGAGCCTGCGTTACTGCCAACAACCATGTGCTAGCAGCTGTACAAATACTGCACAGAAAGTGCAGTTTCCTACAGAGTACAGATAAAACTTTCACTTGTTTACCTGTAGAAATGAAGAAAAATCTGTATGAAAATGTGTTTTGATCTGAATGAATTGAAAATAACTTGAATGACTAATTCAGCTATTAAAAATATCTGTAGAAAATAATGATCCAGGAAGCTTGGAATGTATCAGAAGTTTTATATTTATTTAGACCAGACAGATGTTTATATTCAAATTAAATGCAAGCTGCCCTCAGATGGTCTAAGTGTTTTGCTCTTTTAAGGAGCTAGTTACCTTAGGGATCAGAAATAAATCCTTCCCTTCCAAATCTAAGAAAGTAAGATGCTTTCTGATCTCAGTGATTTAATTCTTAGGCCTTTGAGCCTGTCCATGGATGAACTCCAGAACATATGTGGTGTCTGCTGATGCAAAGAGGATCTCTGTGTAGATTAATACCCTTTTGGTGCAGAGCTTTTAATGGGATTGGAATTTTGTTATCCCACGCTTGGGCAGAATGGTTGAGCAGGACCTCCTAGTGGAAACACTAAAGGCTGATCTGGAGCACATCTCTTGGGGCAGGTAGAGAGAGATTTGAACACTTGCTAACACTGAGCTGCTTGAACATGAGCCAGGTTTGGCCTGGAAGTGGTATAAACATGATGATACTTAGTTTTGCTCTTAGCTGGCTGGATGCGAGCCCAGCATCCCGGCCTGTCTGGGTAGATACTCTGCTGCTTTGAACAGTTAGGTAGGAGGAAAGGAGAATGGGACACTTGAGTCTTGTGTTACTCTCTGCAGCATGATGCTTGTGTTCCGACTTTTTAGGGTTTTTTTTTTTTTTATCCTTTAGCTTTAATGAATGTAGATCAGTGAAGACAGTTATCACTTTTTTATTTTTTAGGGGGATTTCATTCTTAAAATTGAGCCTCCCCTAGGGTGGAGTTTCGGTAAGTGCCATTTGTATTCTTACACTAGGACAGTGTATCTGCAATGTGGGACTTTGCTATCTCTAAGTTGCAATTGGCAGGGAAAATCAAGCGCTTTTGAAAAGGGAGAAGCCTTACTGTATGATTTTAATAACTAAAATGTACTTACTGTACAGAGTAAATAAAACTCTAAGGTAGACACTGAAAAAGTAGCCCATGACCTGATTTGAAGGAATGTGGGTTTTTCACTGTAATGAGGGGAAGAGGACTTTCATCATTGGGATTTGTGGGTGCTTTAGCTTTGCTGAGGCAGAACTTTCAGAGCAACACTTATATGCTTGAGTAAATGCATTTCTGTGCGAGGTTTGTAAAGCTAGAGTAGAGTTGCTTCATGATTGCTCTCTCACTAACTACCATGCTGTTTCATTGTTGTTCCTCCTCCAGAACCAACCAGTGTAGACATCCATGTGGATGGCATTAATGACATTTGCACAAAGGGAGGCGATATTAACTTTGTGTTCACAGGGTTTTCTGTGAACGGAAAGGTTAGACTCCTTTATTTATTCCATCTTATGCTAATTCTACCTTCATAAAAACATTCTGCTTCAGTTCTGCAAGTTATTTTTATCCACTTATACTCTGGTTTCTCTTCATTTTGACAGGTTCTCAGCAAAGGTCAGACGTTAGGTCCTGCTGGAGTCCAGGTTGTACTGAGAAATGCTGGCAGTGACACAAACATACAAGCAACTATTACACAACCTGGAGGAAAGTGAGTGTGGGTGGTGCATACTTAATTCATCTGTTCATTTGCACAAGATTCTTTCAATTCTGCCATGTCAGCTGGGATTATAGTAGTTCTGAAATATTTTTTCCTAACGCGTGCGTAGAGTCTGAATTGTTTTTCTGTAAACAAAAGTTTGTGACTATTTCTAAAGAGGCATAACCCCTTTCTTGCCTTACAGGTTCGCTTTCTTTAAAGTGCTTCCTGGTGAATATGAAATCTTTGCATCTCATCCTACCTGGATGTTGAAAGAGGTTAGAGCCTACAAAAGTCCTGGTTTACCTGTTTAACGAGGGCGGATCTGCTAGACCTTTTCTTGATCGACTAGTGTGAGGAAGGGTTTTAGTGAGTGGGCAAGGGTAATGGAGTTTTCATACATTTAATTTAGATGGTCAAGAAACTGCCTCGTGCAGGCCCAGTTTGGAGATAGTGGAGCCAGCCAGGGAACGACTGGCAAATGAGCTCTTGCTTTCGGTCTTGTAATCCTATGCATTTTGTAGGAGCTTGAATGTTATGGCAGATAATCTAATCCTTCCCTCTCAGACTGCTTGCTTTCTGAGGAGCTCTGGGATCCTGATCAATTCCTAAATCAGTAAAACAGGTTTGCATTTGGAATGGCCTGTGGGTCCCTCTGGGTACTGCTGCTCTGGCCTCTCTTTCTGTTGTTGAATATACAGCTTCTGATTGTTATTTAGGTGCTGTAAGTGAGATCTAATGCCTACTTTTGGTGAAAAAGTATGTGTTTCTGTATTTCAGTCAAACACAGTGGTACGGGTGACGAGTTCTAACGCTTATGCTGCGAGCCCTCTGATTGTTGCCGGCTACAATGTTTCTGGGTCAGTGAGGAGTGATGGAGAGCCGATGAAAGGGGTCATGTTTCTCCTTTTCTCTTCTTTGGTCACTAAAGAGGTAATGGTGTATCAGTGCCTTTTCAACATGAGTATGGATGTAAATAAGCAGCAGCTAAATAGCTTCTGGATTCATATTGCCCTGTTACTCATCTCTGTCCTTCTTTGAGCTGGGCTTATGGACAACATAAACTGTACAACCCCTCAAGCTGTATTTTTTGGGTTGTTTTTTTTTGTTTTTAAGGGTTTTTTTTCAACAAGGCCCTGGTAATACAACATTCATGTACATTCTGAGTTTTCACGTGACCTCCATGGAATTACTTAGATGTGTAACACAATAGCCATCTGTTTAAATGTTGGCAAAATTGAGGCTTAAGGTATACATATTTTTTGGACACAAGAAATTAGAAAATTCTTTTAATTCAACTCTTTTGAACTGTTCATTATTGTTTTTAAATAACCAGGTTCCTCAGCAATCAGGCTGTTCAGGGGCATAGAAAACTAAGACCTGAACCGAAGCAGTGCAAAATATGATATGGTTCACAGCATGTTGTTGATCTGTATGTTCCTTGTGGATCAGCAGGGTTCAGGGCTACAGTTTTAAGACAATATTTTTCCAGTTTTACCTTTTTGTATGTTAAACGTTGGTTAGTAAATGTGTTCCCTTATGAGGATGACACTTCTCCATAGTGAAAGACCAGCTCCTGGGACAAGGCACAAGATGTTGCCAGACAAATCCTGCAATTCTCTGTATGGTAGCTGTAATTTGCCTTTGGCATGAGGTCCTAATTGCTCTCTGCCCTCTTGATGTGAAGACAAAGTTCAACAGCTTCTGTAGCCACCTTAAAAGTGTGTTACGAAATAAGTGTGAAACATTTGGTCATGTTCTGTGTTTTGTTCTGTAGAATAGAGCTCCGTTCTACAGAACTGAAATCAGTTAACATTAAGGCATGCAGTGCAGTTCTGGGGTACTGGGGTATGTTGAATTTCCCAGTTTTCTGTCCTTGTTACCAGAAAGTTGATTATTGGTTGTTTTTTCCCTCTATTACATATACATGAATTTTAAATCATACTATCAAACTTTGCCTCTAAAATGGTTTTGCACTTCCCATCCTTTGTTCACAGTATAGCCTTTTGAACCCTCCTACATCCCCCTTAAAATTGTTTTCTCTGTTCTCCTATGAGAAAAAAAGTTGTATTGCATTTATTGCCACAGGATGTTGTGGGCTGCAATATTTCTCCTGTGGATGGATTCCAGTCAAGAGATGAGTCTCTATCCTATTTGTGCAATGTTGTATCAAAAGAAGATGGATCTTTCAGCTTTCTTTCTCTGCCAAGTGGGAAATACACTGTGGTAAGTAGCTAGAAAGTTCATTGCTTGTCTAGCCATTGGATTGTTAACCTTCATTTTCTAAACTAGATCATGCATAGTGTTATAGCTGTTAATCATAAATAGTTGAAATATTTTTAATTGAATGAAATAATTGGAATAGGAACCTCCAACCTAAAGTACGTGATGGTGAAGTGAGTTCCTGTGAGAAGGCTCCGTGGTGTGGTTTCTGAGGAAGGCCTTATTTGCCGTCAGGCTCTGAATGACCTGGATACGTTGCCCACTCACAGAACAGCACGTAGACCCTGCCGGGAGACCGGAAGCTTCAGCTGGCTACAGCCACCTCATGTCCTTTAAGTTCTCCGGTTTCTTTTTTGCCCATTCTCTTTATTACATCTGGGTAGTGTGGGAGCATGGTTGTCTGTGCTCCGCCTAGAGCAACGGTCCTGCAGTCTCAGTCTGCATGATCTAGCTGTGGGATTCAAACTTCTCTAGTTCCTTTAACCCTTCTAGCAATTATATAGTCTTCTATCTGTAAGCTTGTGCACATCCAAGTACCTTTGCTGTATTCTGAGTAGAGGGTTACTTTTCTGTCTCTTTGGATAATCTATGTGGTTTCCACCAAGCAGTCTTGAAATACCACCTTTGTTCTTGTGTCCATCCCTCTGAGTTATTTTTTCTGGGAAGTTTGCAGCCCATTTGACTCTTCATAGAGGTGTCTGATGGTGATAAGGACATGGAAAATGGTAAAGGAAAACAATTCTGTCGTCATAGCTTCTTACGAGTCAAAGTGATGTGTCTTCTTTCAGATACCATTCTACAGGGGAGAGAGAATTACCTTTGACGTTGCGCCATCTAGATTGGACTTCCTTGTAGAGCACGACAGTTTACAGATTGAGGTAAGCCAGTCAGAGCAAATAATCTTTTTGTGCCATTCATTCCTCCAAAAGTATAACTGATTTTAGCAGAAAGCAGGTGCATTACAGAAAAACTTCTCTGTAAGAAGTTTGAAGACATTTGTTACGTGTACCATCTTGCACAACAGGTAGAAGACAATATCTAGCATCGTGCTGTATTTCCACACTTCAGTCCCTTTTACTAGGAAGAAACAAAATAGGGAAGGGCTGTCTACTACGTTCACTTTCGTGTCCATGTCGCAAACAGATAGTAATCTTTCAGGTTGCTTAAATGTTCTTGTTCAGATTGTCAGATCTCTGGAGAAGGGCCCGTGGGTTTGTGTGGTTTGCAGAGTGCCTTGTGTAATGGCGTTATGATTTGTGATTTGAGCCTTCCAAACTGTACTGATGCAGATAAATTCAGAATCTGTTCCTGGACTTAGGGGAACAGTATGCCTGGAGCTTGATATGTACTTTCATTCTGATTATCCTGGTACGTTTTCTTCCTAAAGCTGGAAATAAATTTCCTTTATGTGTGTTCGTGTGGAAAACAGTTGGTGTTGATTGCTGTAGGTGTGTGTTTGCTTTTACTGAGTAAAGATTAATGTTAACTGTTTTCCCATTTCAGCCTGTTTTCCATGTGATGGGTTTCTCTGTCACAGGCAGAGTGTTGAATGGTCCTGAAGGAGAAGGAGTTGCTGATGCCATTGTGACTCTGAACAGCCAGATTAAAGGTATGCAGTGGTCTTGATCTGTGTTGCTACAGGGAAGCCTTTATTAAGTTCAAGTACAGGACTAGTGTATGAGATGGAATTAACCCTTCAGGATAGTACACTGCTTTTGATGCAATTTATTTGAAATATTACAGTAGTTTTCCTGCAGTTGCTTAATTTTGCATTTTCTGGCTTAGGTGAAAGTATTAGGTGTTGATTTGTTTTACTGTTGAAAATTTCTTATTTTCTTGCAACCATATGCCAAATTGTGCTTTGAAATATAGAAATGATGGTTGATCTAGTAAGAAAGCATAATACTGTTCCTTTGTTGTGCAATGTAAATTAAAAGTAGCCTAAAGCAGTGCATGCTCTCTGGCTCTTTTGACACATAAGGATGGACAGTCAATGCATGCTCTATTTTTTTAACTCATTATTTGTTACAGTAAAAACAAAAGCTGATGGCTCTTTCCGCCTTGAGAACATAACGACAGGCACATACACAATTCATGCCAGGAAAGAGCATCTCTTCTTTGACACTATTACCGTGAAGATTGCACCAAATACACCTCAGCTAGCAAACATCATTGCCACAGGGTAAGTACTGGTGTCATGATGAGAATGTAATTTGATGTGTGGACAAGGTCTTGAAAACGGGTGGTCCTTTCCCACGTCATGCCCAGCCTTGTGTACTGTTGTCAGGAGCTAAATGTTGCTCGAGAAATTCAAGGTAGATAGGACAGCGTGAGTGCAGGATAATGTTTTGTCCACAGTATTTTGCTCAATCCTAGTTAAGGTTTAGAGCACCCCCTTAATACCCTCTCCCTTGCAAATGAAGATGCTGAGACATGGGTCTGTTGAGCAATTTTAGAATGGTATGTGAATGAAGAAGGGAACAGAGTGGCTTTCTGCCATTGATGCTGCGCTTCCCGTATCCTCCTTCTGTGCAGGAGTGGAGTTACATAGCCATCTGGTGTTGTACTAGACTTCTACATTTTATTGCTTGCTCTCGAGGTCATAGTTGTCTTATATGACTTGTCTTTTTCTTGTTTGTGATTCTTGGACTGCTGGGCACAAGCCTGTGTAACGTGGCAGCATGATTTGGGGAGTGTAAGGCACTGCAGTGGTTGGAGATACAGTGTGAGCTGAGGAAGACAAGAGGGGCATGGTTCTGTGTCCAGGAGCTCCTTCTGAGGAGGAAGCAGTGGCAACCTTCCAGAGAAGTGAAAACTCGGAATTTGCTGAGGCAAATGGCACCTAGCTCATACAGACTTAGCTAGCTGATTGGGAAAAAACCCTGTGTGCTGTTAGATGATCAGTTACATGGTTTTCAGTCACTAAATATGTTATGCTGTTAAAGATGAAAAATAAAACTTAACAGCTTCTAATTTGTCGTCTTGTGTACATGAGTTTGCGCTTGCTCCACTGTTTGTTTATAGTATCTCTTGGATATGAACACTCCTTCAGGAGAAATCCATTCCAATTCATGCATTAGTACCTCAATGTAGTGAGGTTTACCTTTTAAGGAAGTTTTAAAACAAGTATTTTTTTTTGAGCTTTGTCAAATAAAGATGTTCATTCCGATGGCTGACTTTTATTTAACAGATTCAGCGTGTGTGGCCGGATCTCAGTAACTCGTTTCCCGGACACAGTCAAACAGATCAGTAAATACAAGGTAACCATGATGCCTCAAGACAAGGACAAAGCATCACTGGTTACAACAGAAACTGACCTTCATGGAGCTTTTTGTTTTAAGGCAAAATCGGGTACATACAATATTCAGGTAAGCATGAGCTTCTGTTTCTTCACTGTAGGACTGTCCTGAGGTTTTAGAAGACTATAAATAGTTAATTTCTAAAATTTGAGAAGTTGAATTTAGATTTTCCTGGTCCTTTTCTCCTGTTTGCACTATTTAAACAATGGCAGCTATTTCTTTTTTTTTTTGTTTTTCCTTAATAAGCTGAGATTCCCATGCTCCTTGTCCTTTACACTTGCTAAAAGGAGATCAGGCCATTGGGGTTGAAAGCTCTTATTTCTCTCTCTTAGTTGTGATGTCCCTTAGACCACTTCTTATCCTAATATATTATCCTGTGAGGTACACATTACATGTCTCACTTTCTTAGGTGCCTAAATGGTTCCTGAGATTATAGGTCACAGCAGAACCTATAGCACAACCGCTGTGAATTTGCATTGTAGGAGAGAGCGCAGGCTGGAAGATAAAGAAGTACATGGTTATAAGGCCTCAACCGTCCTCACAGAGAGTGAATAGCCTCATGTAGAGCAGCAGTACATCCTGAAGCAAAATTCACTCAGACTTTTGAAACTGAGCTGTTTGGAGGATTTTTAGCTCAGTTTGATTACAGTTCTTTGGAGGATTTTTAATAAAGAATTTTGAAAAGCAGATTTGGGAGGCAGGTTTTGCTTTGCCTGGGATTTACAGTAAACTTCCATTTTGCTACTTTCTGATAAGTTAGTTGAACTCAGCAGAGTGGGTGTATTTGGACTGGTGTCTAAAAACTGGTGATGTTTTGATGTCATATACTCTACAGGTGATTATCCCAGAGGCTGAGACCAGAGCAGGCTTGGCTTTGAAACCCAAAATGTTCCCTGTTACTGTTACAGACAGACCAGTAATGGATGTGACCTTCTCTCAGTTTTTGGCATCCGTCTCGGGGAAAATCTCTTGTTTAGGTAAGCCAATTTTAGAAGTGAAGTGGAAATGGGAACAGAGGAGTGTAGCACTGCATGTGTGAATGAGTGCTGTTTAGATCCAGACACTTGCTGTGGTTAGCCCTGTCCGCAGATAAGTAAATTTAACTTCAAGCACATACATAAAGCAACTCTTGCTTTCAGGAGACCTTACAGCCTAATAAGGTACCTTAATAAAGTTTGGAGTAAAGTTATGTATCTGTTTGTAATACTTGCTAAGAATAAGCAAGTATTTCTTCCTGAGGAAGGTATTCTGACCTGTTTGCCTTCCTCAGGAGATGGGTAAGTTCTGGAAGGAAATGATCATGGCTGACGCTAGGGATACTGTACATCAATCAGAGAAGTACTGGAGGCAAAAAAGACTTTAAAAAAAAAAAAAGGCAATGCATATAAAAACCTGTAGGATAGAGGCTCAAGCTGTTGATAGAAGCTTGCAATCTCTGTTCTTTTTCGTAAGCTTTTTGTCTTTATTTTAGTCTGAGTTTCCTCTCCGCTGCTCTTTTCCTTGATTACCCACTGATTTCAACAGATGATGATTGGAGCTTGACTTTTGTCATTTTTACCCCTTCCATTTTCCTCTCTGAACCCTCTCTGCACTTTGTGTTCTGTCTCTCAGGTGTTTAGTGGGCCCTGCAGTCTCTGCAGAGCGAGGTGGACCCAGGAATTTAATGTTGGCCTCTGGTTGTTACTTGCCATTAGATAAAGTATGATTAACAGTTTCAAACTTCCTGAAGAATGCAGAAAAGCACTGGTGAACATGTGCTTAAGGAATGAGAGTAAGAGTTTTAATTGGAAACATTCTCTACTGGAAGAGAGTAATCATTTTGGTGTTGGTACACACGAAGCTTGCTTGGAGTGGGGGTTTTGGAGGCAAAGCTGGCAAGTCAGAATGCAGTCTCCTTTTCTGTTGTCTTTTCTGCACAGATGCTTGTGGTGATCTAATGGTGACATTACAGTCTGTGAGCCGTCAGGGTGAAAAGCGCAACCTGCAGCTCTCTGGAAGCATGGACTCAGTGGCCTTCACATTTGAAAATGTGCTACCTGGCAAATACAAAGGTAGGATTATGGGGAAGTGCTTCAGGTCTTACCTCAGTAGCTAAATTTGTGACTTAATCTGTATACTTCTCTTATTATAGGTACCGTTACAGTATGCCCAACATGGAACTAGTACTGAAACTTCAGAGAATCTGGAAAAAATATAACAGTGCATCAAGTTTTCTTAGTCTTGTATGTTTAGCCCTTTTGTTAGCTTACAAATAACTGCTCCCCTAAGTTTTAGGGTCTACATGACTGGCGTGAGGAAAAAGGGCTTTATCATGAAGTGACTTGTCCCAAGCCTAAGAACAGGGGCACACCCTACTTCTGCTGCTGCCGGAGTACCTCTCCCGAGAGCAATATGGGTTTTGGCCAGCCTGCCTTGGCCTACTGTGAAAATACATTGTTGTCCAGGGAAGGGTGTAGAAGGAGTATACGCAGATTGCTCTCTTTATACACGAGGCAGAACATCTTTCCCAAGTTAGGTTCTGATGGACTCTAGGCTTCTTAGGCTCTCACAGTGGCAGTGCACATGCAGAACTTTCCAGGGTGACCAGACTTTGTTGTTCCTTTTTGCAATAGCTTTTTTGCTACGAGACGTGCTGGCTTCCTGGTGATGCTACAGTGCTGTGAGCCAGGTCTGTTACTACAGTCATTGTATATCTGCCTTTGAAGGTTATGGTCAGGGAAGTTAGAGCGATACAAGCTTTTTTTTACCACAAAACCTGCCCTTATTCACAGTTTTATGTTACTAAAGCGTTTTGCATGGTGTGTATTCTAGTAAGCATTGTACATGAAGACTGGTGCTGGAAGAACAAGTCTTTGGAGTTGGAAGTCATGGAGGAAGATGTTTCGGGAGTAGAATTCAGGCAGACTGGATATATGCTGAGGTGTTCTCTTTCTCATGCAATTACACTGGTACGTAGGTAACAAACGTCCTTGTCTTTTTTAATGAACTTGTGCAGGTAGGTTGGATTATGTCTGGAATCAAGGCTTTGTCGTGTCACTAGGGAGTCATACAGCACAGCAGCATCGATGTTAGAGTGCTTTGAGATTTGTCTCGTAGATCTGGTAAAATGGTCTTGTGTTGTTAGCTGCTATAAAAGAGAAGGATTAATGTATCTTTAGGCAAACACTGTTTTCATTTGGTTCTTTTGTAGTTACTAACAGTGAATTGTGTTGTGGCTTCACAGGAATTTTATCAGGATGGGAATGGACCAGAGAATGTTGGTGTTTACAACCTGTCCAAGGGAGTTAATAGATTCTGTCTTTCAAAGCCAGGTAACAGCTCTAAAATGTTAGTTTTAAAAATGAAAAAGAACCAATCAACTAGTACTGCTGGGAATTTAAAAAAAAAAAAATCTGTTGTTGTTTCTGAGAGGCATTGTTTTATTTACATCTGTATATAAATGCTCTGTTTTAAGTTTTTAGAGTTCTCCTGCTATTTAGTCCTTCACCTAAATATGGATTCCAGACGTAAAATAACTTTTTTGGACTCGATGAAGGGCTTTAATCTTTGATGGATGAAGGACATGTTAAAATAATCTTGTTCATATGGGTTCTATTTGTCTGCCACGTTAGAATGTGATAACCATAGGGTTATCTATAACAAGAAAAAAGAATGTTTTAAAATTAGCTTCTTTTTTTTTCTCCTTTTAATGTCTTAGAGCAAATTCTGTGTTATGGCCCCTTAGCAAAACGGTGAACAAATGTATTTGGTTTTGATTCAGTTTTCATGTTTGTACATGTCGTCCTTAGAGCCAGTGGTCTCACAACACAATAGTACAGTGGTTCTATGACCAGTCAAAGGATATCAGCTATGGGACCACAATAGGTTACTCCTGAGCTTGTTTGGTTTGTTGAGTTTGTAATTATGTTTATTTGTAGTGATGCCTAATTGTGTTTTGTACCAGTGTGCATTAGAAACTCTGCACAGCTTCCAGTAGTGATCTGTGACTGAACAGAGGTGAATTGATTAACAAGTGTCTGTGTGAAAGGCATAGATAGATAGTCAAATTTGGTAATTGTTTCTGTACCTCAGGTCTCATGTGCTCTTGACGATTCAGCCCACACAGCTGAATTTTTTTTTCAGTGGATCATTCTTTGGCTTAATGTTCACAGGTGTATATGAAGTGACCCCACGTTCCTGCCACCAGTTTGAACATGAGTATTACACTTACGACACGTAAGAGCAAAATCTGGTTTGGATCTTATGCCTGTCAGTATGCTTTCACAAAGCTGCCTTCTGCTGCAGCTGCGTTCTTTCAGCAGTTCAGGGTGTTTTGCTGTGACTGGCTCTAACCAATAGAGGGAAGCTTCAGCAAAGTGTATCAGAGGTGTTCTCTTGCCCTTTCTAGTCTTAAAAAAAATAATCAACTAATGATAGGCTTTAAAGATGTTTTTGCTACTTTGAATGGAGATTTTTGTCAGCCTTCTGTCTGTTTAATGTTGGTTTTGCTTTATAACAAAAGAGAGATTTCTGTGGAAACTGTTGATCGCTTATGAGAGTTGAAATGCAAAAGATAGGATAGTAAGTTTACTAAGAGGCATATCGCACCGTGGTACGTCCCTAGTGCTGTGACTCCATGGTGGTTTGATTCTGCTCACCCTAATCCCAAGTAAGCAGTGCTGATCTGCCTAAGTCAGCCGTGTTGTGTTGTTAGTTATTTATTATTTATAGGTTATGGTCTGGCAATGTGCTTAATGGCTCTTTGCTTCAAAAAAGAGGATTTCTGCTCCCAGACTACTTCTAATTCATGAACATGGCAGAAAATGAATTCAGCATTAAAATCTGATTCTTTTCTGCTGTGTTAGTGAAATAAAAGTACTTCGAAGAGAGATATGCTAAACACGAGAGCCAGCACAAGGTGAATGAATGGATGGAAGCAGAAATTCTCCTTTTCAGCAAAGCACTAGACGACCTGGGGCATCTCAGTGATCTATGTCTAACGTGACAAACTTTTGAGTGTCCTTCTGCTGTGCGTAAAGGAATTGTACATGTGAAATCAATCAAATCAGCTTCAGCTTGAGAGGAAGCAGGAGGCACAAAGGAAGGAATTGGCTTGGCCAATGTCATGCAGTGGTTTGGAGTTCAGAGCTGGAAAATGCTCCCTTTCCAATATTCTGTCATCTCAGCGCTACAGCTTCACTGTGGAACTTGTGTGTCATCTTTATAATAAAGCACTTCAGACTTAGGGATGGGAGCACAAACCCTGCTAAATAAGGTTTGGTTATTTTCTTTAGGAGGGGAGCCTTGAATTCATCTCTTTGTTACTTTGATTTACAGGTCCTCTCCTAGTATACTGACGCTCACGGCAGTTCGACACCATGTCCTTGGCACGATTGTAACGGATAAACTGATGGATGTGACTATTACCATTAAGTAAGAACAAAGAAATCCTGGGGCTATAAAAAGTGGAGGAAAAAGACATCTCTCTCATAAAGTTTTACTGTAGTTTTAATACCACAGTGGCTGCTTTCTGAAGGGCTGGCATCCAGCTCTAGACTGCTAGAGGTTTTTATGCTAAGCAGTGCTTTGAGGTCTTTGTAGATAGATAAATAATTCCCAGCCCGCATTTTTAACATTGTTACTTCATTTCAGTATAGCCCCTTTCTACTGGTGTGTCATGATAAAAAGGAATGATATTCTGAGTTTTTATATGCTTTAATGAGCTGAAATTTCAAAATTCAGAGGGTATTGTTTTAGCTTAGGTCTGAGCTGTTTAGCACTGACATCTATTTTTTTTCCTTTTTTTTCCCCCCCTCAGAATGGGAATCTGCTGCTTTAGAGCATTGTTACTGATGTGAAGAGGGTTATAAAAGGAAAACCATGCAGAGTGATTACACACTAATGTGCCAATTTATGTTTAGCTGAACAGACAGCTCACTAGGGAGCACTGATTTGTGAACAGCTTTAATTGTGTGAGGTGCCAGATCTGCCTGGAAGTGTCTGATAATGATGAGTGCTTTATTAATACTCTGCTGATGTCCACTTGTTCTAAACTATGGGTTCTCAAACTTCTCTGAGTGTAGAAATCATCTTTTCAGAGAACAAATTACCTGCAGAGCATTGCCTCGAGTTCCCTGAGTTTAATGAACCTATAACTGCAACTACTGGGCAACTACAGCAGCTGGAAAAGAATCACTGAGACAGCACAGAGCCATTAGGATTTTAAAAACACCTTAGTGAGGAGGTGAATATTATGCTGACCTTCTGGGCTGGTTGGGTTTTTTGAGACGATTGGCAAGTGCTTTGGAGGCAGCAGACAAACTGTCTCTGTTCAAGCCTGCCTGATGCCTGCCTGCCTTTTCAGCGAATGCCATCAGCATAAAAGGGGCAGCTCTGGATTTAAAAGCAAGCCAGTTGTTTTAACAAGTCTGTGTTTGTGTACCAGATCCATGACAGTCACCTCTTAACTTTCAGTTAAACCAAAATTTTTTTGGGGGCTTAAAACCTATTAAAAATCTGTACGGATACACACAGGGTCTCATTTTTCAAACATAACAAGCCATCATCAAAAATTGGTAAGGTATTTTTGGTTGGAGTTGTTTGGCTTTTTTTTTGTTAATACGTTTGGTTTGGTACGTTTCTGTATTGTCTCTGGACTCCAAAGAAAGAATTTAAAGCCTTGTTGAAACTTAGTTTGATAGAGCAATAGTATCTGTTTCTCTTAAAATTTTGACAAAAGAGAATATAGGTGAAGACTGAAGCGGGAGACAGAACTATCCTGATAATCTAAGGTGGGTGTAGGAAAAGTAATCGTGATCAGTTCAATCCTCATAGAGAATTTTGCAGTGTTCTGCGACAGTTTTTCAGAATATTGTAGAAGAGAGAGAGGATAAGATACAGAGGATGGTTGGAGACAAGAAGAAATTGCTAGGAAAGAGAGGATGCAAGATCAGGGAAAATGAAACAAGATACATTGTTCTGAGTTCATGTAAAGAACTTGGTTAAACTTACCTAATAGTCTGTTCAGTGGGCAGTGACAAGAGAGCTGGATAGTTCAAATGTATAGGGCAGCTAGGTTAGAACTCGGAGCTTTTCCTGGGAGTTGCCAGCTACTGGAAGTACTTATATGTGATAAAAGTTGTTTTCTCCTGGTATACTGTATTCCTGAGAGGTATGTTCTGACGGAAGGTTCCTAGTACTGGGAAAAAAAATGGACCTTCCCAGTCTTTTTATTTTGTATAACTCATCCTTTCTGCTTTAAACTTGTTCTCAGGTTTGGAATTCCAGCCTTTCCCTTTACATCAGGGCTTTGTTAAAGGTACTCTTGCAAACTGGTCCTTGGGCTTAAGAATTTACCACTCCGGCGGCTGGCTTGTCAGTGCTTCTGTGGGGTTATTGCCCCTGCAGCAGAGCTGGTGTCTGGTACTTAGTGCAAGATCAAGACTCTCTACTTACCAAAACCAAGGCTAAGCTGAGACGCCAGGCTCTGCCGAGTGGTTGAGATGTTGTAGGCCTGTGGCACTGGCTCTGCAGTGGGATGCTGAGGCACAGCAGGGCGGAGGAGGAGGCCGTGACTTTTTGAAGGGTTATAGCATGATGAGGCAGAACTGGTGAGAGCTGCATGTAGGTCCTTTCCTGCTAGGCTGGGTAGGTTACCTGTAGTGACTATGAACGAGCCTTTCTAGTCGTAACTGGTTCATGCAAATGTTAATAGCAGAATTAAAAAGAAGTAGATTTAAAAAAAAATCCTGGGACTTGTCTGCTGTGGTATAAAGGCAGTAATTAAGAGATATAACAAGCTCTTATCCTTCCATATGAAAGGAGATGATTTTGTTTTCTCCTCCATGTTTTCAGGTCATCCATTGACAGTGAACCTGCCTTAGTTTTAGGGCCCCTGAAATCCGTACAGGAGTTACGGAGGGAGCAGCAGCTGGCAGAAATTGAGACCCGCCGACAGGAGAGAGAAAAGAAGGGTCAAGAGGATGAAGGAACAAAGCCACCAGTGCAAGAAATGGTGGAGGAGCTCCAAGGACCGTTCTTATATGAATTTTCATACTGGGCAAGGTAATACTGAGCTCCAGCGGACAAGGGGTATTCTTTGTGCTATCGTGTGGTGTTTCCACCAAACAGAACAGCGATGTATTCTGTCTGGGAAAGAGCTGCTGTAAGGGTACCCCTGCCTCTTCTTGTTCACTTTCAGCTCAATGGAAACTAGTACATAATAGGAATTTTGCTTAGGTTATTGTTGATATTTTGTCCTTGGAGTGTTTAGATGGATTCTTGGGTCAATATACAGTACTCAGCAGCTCCCATGTAGAACAAATGCCATTTTCTTCTGACTGTATCTTATTTGTGGTTTATAGGTCTGGAGAGAAAATTACTGTGACACCATCATCAAAAGAGCTGCTTTTCTACCCGCCTTATGTGGAAACAGTTGTTAGTGGAGGTAAATATAAATAAAATCTAGCTTGGAAGGAGTAGATTTGTAAGGCAGAAATGTATCCTTATAGATGAACGTATGAATAGCTCTTCAAAGGTGATGTTAGGAAAGTTTCAGTTGCAGCTATTTCTTCCGGCCAACTTCACTCTGGAATTTGAAAGCATGGGTATTTGGTAGAGGGTGCTAGTACAGTTTTTCAGCAGAATGTGCTTCCAAGTGCTGAAAGACCACCTGGCTCAAGAGAACGGGCTGGATTTCTGGATATTACACCAGATTCTCCACATTGTTCATGTTACACTTGTCTAGAAAAATAGTTGTGCAAAGGCCATGTTTGTGTTTTGAGTTTGTTGCCAAATTCAAGTTTCTGTTAAGTTTTCTTTGTAGTAAATTACAATAATAAAAATATTCACCAAAAAGTAAACTTCAGAATTGTCAGGGTTATCGTCAGTCAGCTGATGCTGATGTTAAGTCAGTGTCCATCAGCCTCCCAAGTGAACATACTTTGCAATCACTAGAAAATGTTAGGTACTCCTTTTTATGTGCTCCTTGTTGTGCACGTTCCGAGTACTTTGGAGGGAGGGAAATAAAATTTTACTTCTGTCATGAAATGTGACACATGCTGACCTGAATTTGACCTCAAAAAAATTTTGTCACAGTTCAGTGTAATATCAGCTAGAAGGGAATATTGGTGGAATCCTCTCCATGTGGCTGAGTATTTGTAACTGAACGAATCCTCGAAGCACGTAACAAATCCGTGGAGATGCGCTTATAGCTTTGGAACTTAGTTATTGATTTTGTGAATGTTCAGATGTTTTAAAATGTGTAGAGAGGCCATAGAATTGTGTGAGTTGATCTCTTGTTCTGAGGTAAAGGAACATCAGCTGATCATTTGGAAGTAGTTAAATTCTTGCTGTAAGGCAGAGTGGTGAGTGTATTTTTGACTTTCTTGTTTGTCTTAAATCCCCTTTACGACAACCAAGAGAGTTGCCCTGGAAAGCTGATAGAGATTCATGGAAAAGCAGGCTTATTTCTGGAAGGGCGAATTCATCCTGAATTGGAAGGTGTTGAGATTGTCATTGGTGAAAAGGGAGCAGCTTCCCCGCTCATCACAGTTTTCACTGATGATAAAGGTGCTTACAGGTAATTAACAGATTTATTTTTGTCTTCTGGATTCCTTAGTTAAAGTGCAATGGTGACCGGACAACATGTGTGTGAGATCCAAGTGCTTTTTTTTTAAAAGGAGTTCTTCTTTCCTTTTATTTGAAGTGTTGGGCCGCTCCACAGTGACTTGGAATATACAGTTACTGCTTCGAAAGAAGGGTTTGTTTTGACTGCAGTAGAAGGAACAGTTGGGGACTTCAAAGCTTTTGCTCTTGCTGGGGTGACGTTCGAGGTAATGTTCTAAACACTTTGGACTCTGAATGAATAGTGTGTGCATTTAGAGCTAGACAAGCAACAAGTTAACCCACGTGTCCCAGCCAGACACAAATGGGTGTGGGATTTGGGGATAAGATAATTTTGTCCCAGGGAAACAAACCTCAGTGGATGAGCTTAGCTGTAGACCGTGAGTTGCCATGCAGAAGATATTTTGTAAGGTTTATACAGTGAAAGTTAGAGCCTGCAGTCCAGAAGACTGGCTTTACTTGCTTTTGTAGAGTTGGACCACCTTCTCTTAATGAGTTTTATCCCTCAAGGTGATTTGTTTTCATGTACAGTCTGGTCCAACTGCTGCCTGGTTCTGGTCTTTGGGATACTTTGTTCTGGCCCCCAGCACATCCTGTGGAGTGACAGAGAAAGGCTGGCTGTTCTGGTGACGCTGGCTGTGTGTGGCTGCGACTGCCCAGGTGTTGAGAGCACAAACTTCTGTAGCCCAGCAGTCTTGCAGGAGGGGACACGCTGCAGATGTGGCTACTTTCCTTCTTACAGCTCAGAGCCAGCACATCTGTGCACTCTGTAAGGGGCGTCTGAACTGAACCCTTCTTTGTAAAGCAACCCTTGCTTACACTTACAACTATTGCTTTTCCAAAACCAGATCAAATCGGAGGATGACCAGGCTCTTGCTGGAGTTCTCTTGTCTCTCAGTGGGGGGATGTTCCGGTCCAACCTCCTTACACAGGATAACGGCATGCTGACTTTTTCCAATCTGGTAAGTTGAAATTGGTTCTTCTGAATGTGGCTGCATGTGCGATGCTGTGTTCATTTGCCCTCCAAAACAGGGATGCTCTTGGCTCTCCAGTGGCAGGGGGGGTTTGGTCTGTGAAATCGTAACCCACAGTGAGAGATGTGCGTCCCTCAGAGCGGGCAGCACTTAAAGTCTTAGCAAATGAAAGATGTGAAATCTAACCTGGCAAGAGATTCCTCCCCAACAGGTAGTAGGTGATGTTGATGGACCTCCGTTACTAATCCGCAGTCTGTAAACATGAGACAAGCCAGTTTGCTGATGATCATTTCAGAGTCTTTAGAGGAAAGAAATCGAATTAGATTATTGATCTGTACATGCATGTAGACATGCCTGAATAGTTTCCTTGCAGACATCTTTCTCTTCTGGGCACTTGCGTGTCCTTGAGGTCTTGCGGTAAGGTTTTGGGGCCATAGTTTCCTTTCCCTCTTCAGGCATTATCACTGGTGGAGTTCCATTGGTTTATTGTCGAATGTGCTCCCTGCTTTTTAGTGCTCACATTTTCCAACCAGTTTAACCTACAGTTGGGACAGAGAACTTTAGCTCTTTAGGGAGCTCTTACAGAAACATAATTGTTTGGAGTAGGTGAATTTTTGTGTCACGGTCAGCAAACAGCTTGTTTTTTGCTTCTTTGCAGAGCCCAGGGCAGTATTATTTTAAACCCATGATGAAAGAGTTTCGCTTTGAACCATCATCACAAATGATTGAAGTGCAGGAAGGACAGAATCTTAAAATTCGGATAACTGGTTACAGAACAGCTTACAGGTCAGTAGAGCTGAAATGCCATGCAAAATGCTATGTACTGTATCAGCATGTGTTATGCAAAATGTGTGCTTCCTCCTGATACACCTCTGTTCTGAAGGTTTGAGGGTATTTTTGAAGGCACGATTTAACTTTCTGATGCTGTGTATAAGTACTTTTTTTAGCCTTTTCTTATGTGTGTGGATATCTATATAGCTGAGCCCAGCTGGCAGGAGTGTAAGGAGAAATGTTGCTATGAAAGCGCTGTGTCAGTGGCACTGGAGTGGCCTGTGCCATCTCTAGTGGGATGGGAGAGGGATGGCAGGCCAATTCAGGCATCTGACTTCAGGATCCTTCCTTTCCTTGCCCTCAGGGGTACGTGCTGCTTGCTGTTCATGGAGCTTGGGGAAACTTGGATTCCTAAAGTTGTGCTCTGAACTGCAGCTGAATATCATGCTTTGAACAGTTTTACATATACATTATAAATTCCCCTTTTCTACTCCATGCTATGCTAAATATATTAACTACTTTTTCCATCGGTTATAACAATAAAATGTCTTTTAAATGTGCATTGAACCAGTATCTGCACATCTGTAGCAATTGGTTCTCTTTACACCTCTAGCTGTTACGGCACAGTTTCTTCTTTAAACGGAGAGCCTGAGCAGGGACTCTCAGTTGAAGCTGTGGGGCAGAAGGATTGTAGCATCTATGGAGAAGACACCATAACTGATGAAGAGGGCAAATTCAGGCTCCGTGGCCTTCTGGTAAGGATTAGAACCCTCTCTGTCATTTATTTAGTGTGATAATGGAGCAGTAAAATGTGTTTTGTTAATTAGGTACCAATTGCTGGTTTCCCATCACATTTGCTTGCTCAGGTTCCCTTGAGTCCCTCTGTGTTCAGAAACAGTGTCATGTGCTGAACATTCATTCTAGGGAAGGGGGGAAAGCTTAGAGTGTAAGTCCGTGGGACTTGCTGCCAGCACGCTGCTGGCCTCCCACAAACACCGAACAGTTCCTACGAGGGGACACGGCCCCCGGTCGATGTGCTGAGTGTGGCTAATGGGCGGTCAGCAGTGTTCAGGTGCTACACCAGGGAATTTTCTGAGGCGAAGGAATTTGGGGAAGCGTTTTGTTTCTCTGGTGAAAATGCTGTGACAGGGTATTTTTGGCAGGACATCAGGTGTATGTATGATGTCGGTTGTACAGCATGTATTTAAAGTGAGCTGTTCTGCAGAAAACAGAATTTATGGGACCTCTATGTATGGAGTAAGCAATTACGCTGAAGTAGAAAGCAGTATTTGATCAGGTTTTAGTCCTGTTTAATGTATTTTCTTTCTAGCTAAAACACTTCACAGCAGATGATTTCTTTTAATAGTGTAATGTAATAAACTAGTGAAAGTTCTGTGATAGGCCTTTTGTATTTGCTGGTAGTAAACACCCTAATGGTGTTAGTGAGTTAAATTTTCTGTTTGGGATAAGGGAAACTTTAACTGGATAGAGTTAGATCTGTTTGGGTGATTTATCTTAAATGGAATCTCTTACTGTCTTCTAAAATTAACGTATGTATGATTCAGAGTTGGGATTTATCATCTGAATGTTGCTTTTAGCCTGGTTGTGTTTATCATGTCCAACTCAAAGCTGAAGGCAATGATCACATTGAAAGAGCTTTACCACAGCATCGGGCAATTGAGGTAATTTTTTCTTTTTTTGTAGTATCACTTAACTATGAAATGCATCTGTCAGGCATTATGTCTGTTCTACCAGCAGCAATGCAGTTGAATGTGTTCTGTTTAGACAAGCGGCTTTCAGCAAGTTAGCTCCCTAAAGACAGGCCCCATATCGTGTGTCAGCACTGTAGCTTAACGTTGAAATAAGGTAAAGCCCAAGCAGTAAACAAGAGAAAAGGATTCTTTCACAGTCACAAAAACTGTACGTCAAGTAATAAGATAACTGTCTAGAATATCTTTCAGCATTTCTTTATGATGTGGAATAAAGCCCCAGCGACTTGAGGATGTCATAAATTGTCATATTATCCTATCTTTGTATTTAGTTACTGAACGAAAGATAGATTTTTGTTATGCTTTGTTTGGTCCAAATCCTACAGTCTTGATGTAGATGAAATTGTCGTTCAGACTAGCAAATCTTTATAAAATGTAGTATGTAATGTAGTAATGAATTAAAAACTGATGAAATCTTGTTAAAAATTCCTCTGTCCTTACAGATTCAGATTAGCTGCCTCGCATTTATCTCTTGACATCCAGCAAAGGTTAATTAGCCTTTGTTAGTTGTCCAGAACTTTTCAGGGGGAGATGGCCATTATTTGAGGTCAGACACATGCCTGGCCAGGGTGCCTTCTTCACAGTGAAACAGAAGGGCAGAATTCTTTCAAGTCCTGAGTGTCATCTTGCTGAGAGTGCTTGCTGGTTGGGAAGGGGAAGAGAGCCGAAACCCGATTCCAGAAAATGATGTGAAGGTTTTGTACTGCGAGTGACAGGTGTATGCAGTAGCTTGTATGGGCAGTGTCCTGGCTAGCCTGCCACTTCTCCAGGAGAGAGAGGCGTGTGAAAGGCACCCGCAGGAAAACCGGGCAGCCTCGGTGGTGCCTGGCTGCTGATACGGCACCTGGCCTGACCCCAACCTGTCTGTTTCTGTCGGCTTCAGTAAATGTCTTTCCTTACTCCGAGCGGGGTTCAGATTTAGAAACACAAGTGTTTTGTATTTTAAACAATTTTGAGGAATATAGTTATGTATTTTTGAAGTAGGTTATTTTATGATATGAGCATATTCTTTGTTAATCAACTGTATAAACATCCTAGCACAAATGTTCAGACATCAGGCAGTCGTGTGTATGTAACTCAGCCTCTTCCAAAATAATGCATGCTTTTGATACTTCTTCCATTTCTAGTTTAATTTAATGCCATCGGCCTTGTGCTGATAATGCACAAGTCTGTAATTGTGAGCTGTGAACTCTGGAGGAAAAATACTTGCAATTGGAAAGCCTTCATGTTTCTGTGTGGTTAGTATAGAACAAAAATAATTTCTTGTTTAGAAGTCTGAGCAGTATTTGTGCTGTGCTAACTGTTCTCTGGTAACTGTTCCTCTGTTGGAAAAAACATGACTGTGATTTATGTTGCAGGTTGGGAACAGTGACATTGATGATGTTAATATTATAGCGTTCCGGCAAATTAATCAATTTGATTTAAGTGGAAATGTAATTACATCTTCCGAATATCTCTCCACATTATGTGTAAGTTCAAGCCTTTCATCTTTGTCAAGTGTATTCGCCATTGGTTTCCCAGTGTTTTTTGGCGGGGTGGCTGGAAATTGCTCAGCAGCCAGAGCACACATTTAATTCAAATTGTGACTAATACTTTAATGAAGGTGAATTTGAATTCCAGATAGAAGTAAGATTCCAGTGTTCCTCACTGCTTTCCTTCAATGTTTCCATTTTTCATGGAGTATGTTTTAAGAAATACTTTCTCAGGTTGGCCTGTACATTTCTAGGTCTGCTTCCCTGACATGGGAAAGCAAGACACCAGGGGTGAAATGAGTCCTCTGTATCAGAGAGCTGCATTGATTCCTGAAATACCTGGAATTTTTGACATGCATGTCTGCTAGTGAGAAGATACCATATGAATGCAAGGATAGCATAGGACACATGAGTTTAAAAGTGTACTTAGAGAGTATGAGACAAATAGTAAAGCTGAAAGTTTCAAAATTCAAAAGACTGCACTCTGGAAGAACTTTCTCAAGACGTGCGATCCTTTTGGCTTAGGGTGCAAATGCTGGAAGTATCTGCAAGAGGTGTTAGTGTGCTAGGAGTTATAGTACCATTTCTCAGGCTTAAGTGTTACCTGCAAATATAAAGGCAATGCCTGGATTCCTTTCAGACTAGTCTGTTATGCATCTCACCTGCCAAGATCTCGTTGCTGAGATGCTGGGGTTTTTAGGACATATCCAAAGGATCCCACACTCAGAGCAGGTGTGAAGGGAAGATGTATCCCCTTACTGAAGAGCAAACTCCCATCTTTCTGGGGGAATTTAGACCCTTGCAGTTTAGCCTAAGCAAATAGGAATTGATGTAATTCTATGGAAGTTACCCAAGCCGGTTCCTGTTTCATATTAGGTTGGGTCTTGCGTTGCATGCAATGCACGTGTGCTGTTGATGGGTGCACATCATCACCCTTGTTTTCAAGGCAGAAATTTTTCTCTTTGAAAGATGCGCTAAGATTCAATACGACACAAGGTTTTGTGACCTCAGTCTGGTCCCTTCTGGTTGCGTAGGCTTGATGGAACAACTGGAAACACTCTAGTGGACTGTGGTTGGAGCTGCAACCACGGTAGCACTGGGTGGAATCAATGAGAATTTCGTTGGGCCATGTCTGCAAGGGGAGCCAAGTCTTGGCAAATGCCAAGCAGTGGTGTAGAGGCTGCTGCAGAGTGCTCCTCAAAACCCACCGCTTCGCTTCCTGGTCCTCTGGAGGAGACGTTTGGGTGTATGGGCAGCCTCACGTGAGGAGGGCCTGCTGCTCCTACCAGCCTTATTCAACTATGATACAACCCTCTTTTTTAATTATGCTGGTTTCTGAGCAAACTGTCTGCTGGGGACTTCAGGCCTGTTTGGTAGCTTGAGGATGTCTAGCTTGTTGAGTAAGTGTAGAGAAATTGAAATCAAGCAAAATGAGCCTATTGGAAACAGAAAGAACCTCAGCTGCAAATTCCTGTGAAACTGCTGGGGTTATTCAACAGAATACTCAGTTCTGGTGGATGTACAGCACAGACTGCTTTGAACACAGTACATACGTGAAAATGGCAGACATCAGTTGTTCCGAAATTATTTCAGGTTCTGTAAAAAGACTGTTTCTGTGACTTCTCACATCCCAGATTAGAACAATTCCAGGTGTTCTTACTTGACAGCTTTCTGTTTATAAAACTCATGATGAATTTTGAAGTGCTTTTATTCCTCATGATGTGGGATGTTTGAAATATCTGTTGTGGTGCAAGCTCAGAAATACCTGGTTTGTGCTTTCTTCTTTCCCTCACAGGTGAAGCTCTACAAAAGTGAAAACCTTGACAACCCAATTCATACAGTCAACTTAGGCCTCTCCTTATTTTTCCATTTCCCACCACTGCTCCGAGATGGAGAGGTAAGAATATCGCTGAATGATTAGTTCAGCTCACTTTAATTTTTTCGCCTCGGGACACTGAAGTGTTCTTTCTGGTGTGCTTGCAATACTGTACTCACGCTGGAGTGACCAGCGCCTCACAAGATTTGAAGCCTGTTAAACTGCCTTTTGCCTTTAAATCTAATTTCATCTCAGACTGCTACTGGTGCCGTAGACTGAGTGTATGTTTTACCCGCAGAATTACGTGGTCCTCCTGGATTCTACGTTGTCCAAAACACAGTATGACTACACCCTGCCTCAAGTTTCCTTCACCGCTATTGGATATCATAAACACATTACGCTGGTCTTTAGTCCCACTGTAAGTACAGAATGACTACTTAAATGTTGAAGTGCTCACCTTGAGAGCAATGTCTGGTGGTATAGCCTGCATCTGCTTTGTGGTCTTGGCCAAACTTTCTGTTAATGTCAATGCGAAGAGGTTTGTGAGAGGCATTGCAGTGACAATGAGTTTGGATGTGGCCGTGTTTACGGCTTCAGGCAGGGCTGCAGTAGCCTGGTATGTTATGGGAGGCAGGGAGGGAGCTCGGGAAGGAGCTGTAGCCGTGACGCGAACGAAAGGGTTGCGGTAACACGGGGCTGAAGGAGAAAGATAGGATTGTTGTCAGAATTCTTATAAAGACTTCTGTTTAGATGAAAGCAGTATCACCAGGCCACAAAGAGAGCTTTAGTTGTTGGAGCTGAGGTAGAGGGTAAAGCAGAGGAGGTCTCGAGAGTATCATCGGGGAAAGCTGCTCCCTTGAGACAGAGAAGTGTCTCTCTGCACCGCTGAACAGTGCTGTCAATTTAGTGGTGTTCATTCTGTAATACTTAAATGACTTAGTTCTTTTCTGCATCACTGCATGCTCAGATGCCAGGGAAACGAGGGAAATGTGATGTGGCCATTATAAATGGAGGGTGCAGGTGTGCCCGAAAGCTGTAGTGCTAGGATGGTTGCTGTAGTGTCACCGTTGGGATCGCAGAGGTTTGAGGTTTGGGCAGCATGTGAGAGGCGAGTTAAGCGCACCAGGGAAGTGGAGACTGACCAGCAGGGAGTTAGCTTTGCAAAACAACAGCCCCAGGAGGAGGTAATAGGTGAACAAAGCTGATCGAGGGGATTGCTTGGAGGAGAAGGTAAAGAACAGCTTAGAGCAGTACTTGGAGGGAAGCTGGGGAAGGGCTGGATGTGCCACATGGTCCTATTGCTGACGTTGTTTAAAGCTGAGGGATTTCACAGCCAAAATGACTGTTTTAAAAATAAATCCATGGTCCTCACTGTTTTCAGAGAAAACTGCCTGAACAAGATATTGCCCAAGGGTCTTACATCGCGTTACCGCTGACGCTGCTTCTGTTGTTGGCTGGTTACAACCATGATAAGGTGGGTCATGGAGTTTTTTGTCTTACCCAAATATTTTTGTCCTATCAATGAATACTTTGTCCTGTGTTAGGTGAGGGTTTGTTGAGGTGGTTATCCAGACCAGACAGAGATGCAGTCAGCAGTCACCTTATATGACATCTTTTAAGAAAAGCCACAATGTAGCCACTTTTTTGGACAATTACCTTCATTTAAAAAAGCTCAGTGTGAAGGTGAGTTCCTGTGTTGTTTCTGAATTTTGTCTTCTCATTTGATGGCTCTGGGAAAAAAACCCATACAGCGTCATTCAAATTCACATAACCAGACTCAGTGATAATAGGAATGAAAATAATTATTTTACTGGCTTCAGGAACAATCAGACTGGAAATAATCTTGCAAGTCATTGAGTCTGGTCTCTTTAGCTTTACACCCTCCCTGGCGAAAAGGTCTCAAGAGGAATGTAACTACCTACTGTGTAACCCTTGTCATTGTTAACAAGCCATGCTGTTCTAGTTTTCTCTGATATGACTGGACTTCTGTTCTGCTGGTACGAGAAACTTGTCTGTGCAGTTTGGCGTCACTGGAAGTGTCTCCACTGAAAACAGCGGTTATCTTCTGGACTCAAACTGCTGTTTGTGGCTGGATGACTTCAGGGAAAAAAGTTACTGACAGTCATTTTAGGTTTTGATTATCAGAAATTCCCAGTGGAGTGGTTTGATTCCTTCCAAAGATTTGCTGCCACTTTCTGATATCTCTGCAGATGTGCCATTTACATAACAGATTCTGTCTGCTTGGGGGTGCATGGGTCTAAAGAACATTATCATTCAGACCTCACGTACCATTGTAATCACACGTGGCTTCCCCTTTTTTTGCCCAGCTTATTCCCTTATTGCTGCAGCTGACAACTCGATTGCAGGGAGTACGTGCTCTTGGACAGACAGGTTCTGACACAGGCGCCTCAGAGGATGCAAAGAGGCAAACGAAAAAACAGAAGACGAGACGGACGTGAGTTGAAAGGAGTGACTGCATGAAGTGGTGCTCCGCCAAACTGGAGCCTGAGGAGGCAAAGCCACTAAAATGCCTTTTTGTTGAATTTGCGGACTTTCCATTTTTGTTGTTGCTGCGTGAGTGCCGTTTGTCACACTAGGTCCGTTTTGGTTGTAAATTTTCTACGGAGTCTACGGATTTCCTTGTTGTAAAGTAATGAAATGAATGCCTCTGCTGTCACTGTGAATGCATCTCCCGTACTCGAAGACAATTCATTAATGTTTTTTCTCTTCAGTGGAGCAGGTCATGCGGTCTTCATTACTGATTTGTAAAAGCAGTGGTGATAGACCATGTGACTTCACTTTCAGTCTGTAGATTTTGGGATCATTTTTCCTTACCTTTTGAAATACCCACTTTAGAAACAGCACTTTGGGATTTTACTAAATCAGTGGTGCTTGAAACAAAGTTTTGGGGAATATACATAAGGCGGTGAATGATGTCTTTGGCACTTCCAGTTCAGCAGCTTGATTGAAGAGTCTGTCATCTGCACAGCTGTGATTTCAGTTCTTATCCAGTGATTATGTTATCTTTGATTAAGATCAAGTTTTTGCCCGATGAAGACAAATGGTTAGTGTCAGGTAAGTGCTGTTGGTCCTACTGCAAAAGCCGTGTTTAAATTCCAGTTTCACACTCAGTGTGATCTTTTCAGACCTCCAGGGTTCCTGACATGGCTCCAGCAGGTTGTACAGCTCTTTCCAAAGCTGTTTGGTGCTGTCGGGGATGCCTGCGGCCCGTGTGGCTGTCGCATCTGCTCAGGCCATGTGCAGCCTTCTTGCCAACTGATGATCAATTTCTTTTTCTTTTACTTTAAGACGTGAGCTTTTTGAAATCTGCAAGGTGTACAGTCCCAACAATGTAGTCTGTAATAAATACCTGTTTCTTACAGGCTCTGTTTTGATTCTTGGTTGAAGTAGACGGTTGGACATACACAGTTTAAATGTTAATGGGGCTTTTTATTGACAAATAGTATAAAGGTTAATAGAGCTTTTGAAAGATGCACTTAAATGCTTACAAGTATTGCAAAGACATTGGTACTGCCAGCAAGTGGCAATGTTTCTCTTTTATAGTGCTTGAAATAAAGTCCCTTTACATTTAAATATTTAAGCTTACAAACCCTACCATTCTTAGAAATTTGAATGCTAAAAGTTTTATGCTATTTTTGTTGGTATTTTGCATTAGTTTGGGCCTAAATAATTAAAACTTCATTCAGTGATCATTCTAATCTCTCCGAGGGAAATTCTATCAAGATCTTATTAAAAATTAAGAATGTCAAAAAAGCATGTATGTATAGAGTTTGAGATGAAGCTCTAATAAAATATCGTGCTCTCTATTTAATGACCTTGAATTTTATATTGCCGTGATGAAACATCTGGGGGAAAACAAAGTGGTGTAAGACTTAAAATAAATTGTACATTTTCAATACCCCTCTCTCTTAAGCTGGTGAATGTTAAGAACGATATTGCTACTTTGGGGGAATGTACGAGGAGGAAATGCACGTGTCCACGTGCCTTCAGGGGACTACCAGATATTCTGACCTCTGAGCTGTGGGACTTGCTGATGATTGACCTTAAACATTGGAAATGCTCTTAATAAAAAGAAAAAAAAGTGTTAGCGATTGCTAATTTAATCTTTGCTTCCAAACCTAGGATTTCCCCAGTGTCTCTTCTCAAAATTTGCTCTCCTTTGCCTTCTGCAGCACACCGGTGGCCCACCTGGTTCCAGCCCTGTGTTTGAGATTTATTCTGCTTTTGAAGAATTTATTCCTAACAAAAACTATAGCTTGCAGTTTCTCTTGGCAGAGAAGGCATGGCGCTCTTTAAGAACACAGGGAAAACGAATGCATGAGATCGTTCTCTAAAGCAGAGCTGACGTATTAAATGTCAAGAAATCAATATCTCCAGTTCTGTTTGGAAACCAATGATGAGAGGCACGGACCCAAGCAGAGCAATCAGCGATGTGGTCTCTCCAGTCCCCGGAGCCACGCGTGTAAAGCGAGGACAGGCTGAGCCGTGGGCAGCCCGACGGGCACTGGAGAAAGGTTTGTGTGGACGCAGTGCTCTTCACGGGTGATCCTCTGGCTGCGCGGCCCAGCTCCCGGTGGTGCCTGGCACCGCTGCCTCTTCCAGCCTTCACCGCCGACCGGGGTGGCGGCAGCTCTGCCTCCGTGGTGTCACGGAGCACGTAGCTCGACAGGGTCTCCTTCACACGCGCGCTTCAGCGCAGAAATGGCGAGTCGGTGCGGGATTGCCTTCTGTACTCTGAGCGGAAGCTTTAGGGATTGTTCGCTCTGCGTATCTAGGGTTTGTGCTCTTAAAACCAAGACTGCCGTAGCAGTTGGACCGGCCTCTTGAGCTTTTGTATTGAAACGGTCAGTGAAAGCTGCTTATGGCATCTTTAATTTGTGTTAACACAGAGAATAAATGCAGAATTGGACTAACATGTAGATGTTGACTCCTACTAGAAAATTTTCAAGGCTCGATATTTACTCTTCTTTTTTGCAGGCACAATAGTGAAAGAATGATTGATTCATTCGCTTGGTGAGCTAAATACCGGCAAACGGGTGAATTCTGTTGGAAATGAGAGTAAGGCCCTCTGGATAAAGATGGCACTGCGTGTTACTTGATTTTTCTATCAAAAGCAACAATGAATATTACGAATTTGGTTGGCTCATCAGTGATGCACAGAATTCTGTTTAAGAATGAAATGGGTCATTAATATTGAATATTGCAATTTCTTCATAGATGGTTCAGCTTAGTTTCTAAAGCATCATCTTTTAGATGGCTGTCACATTCCAAGAACAAATGGGGTTTGATGCTTAAGCAACAATGTTGTTAAATAAAGATACAGCAGTTTAGAAACCAAATGTACTTAAAAGCAAGAAAACGAATGCTTTAAAACAGAAAAAAACTTTCTCAGCAAGAGTTCCCTCCTATTTAATAGTCTTTGCACTTATTTTTAAAATTGAAATTTCAGTATTTGCTGAGTTGTACTATTTAATTTAAGATACATAGTTGTATGAATCAGATTCTTGGGGCTAAGTGTTTATTTGTTTTTCTCCATTAAGAACACGTAGGGGAAAATGATAGTGTAGTGTGAGATCGGGTCTGTGCCCGACGTGGCAGCTCGGTGCTTCCCTTCCTACGGAGGGCAGGGCTCCAGGAGGAAATCTCTGAAGGGGGAGTTACTGCTGATGCACTGATACGCTGACCGAGGCTCCCCCCTCCAGGTTACTTTTTACAGCAGAAAAGCTACGATCCTTGCCAGCTTCTCGAACTCACCGAAGAAAGAAAGGAAAGAACGTTAATTGAGTCAGGGCCGACAGCAGACGTGCCATCCTCTGCTACGGCCGTTCAGTATGATGGTGTGACCCTTGGGTATTTTGCTTTCCATCAGCAGATACGTCCGTACTGTGCAAATAAGGCGGCAACGCTGCGGGCCTTCAGCATTGACCATCTGAGACCGCAACTTGATTCCTGCTCCTGTTCTTCTGTGCATGAGTTTTGCTCTTTAGATGTTGAAAGTGCAACTGTAGAATTAGCAGTCTTAATAAGCAACGAGCACCCTGCTCAGCCCTGTGCCGAGGAAACAAGGACTGAACACCGAGGATTTTGAAGGTAAGGTGGCTTTGAAAATCCCACCAGACACCCAAGTAACTGACTTGTCCAGAAAAGCTGGGGCTGGATGTGGAGTTGAACCCTGAGATGACTGATGTCTAATTTTCCCCCTGTTCAGTATTCCGTACTTTGTATGGTACCTGTATTTCTATTTTTTCCAGTCTGAAGGTAATTTAAATTGGGGTTCTTGCACAGGTAGCTGCAATAAAATGGGTGGCATAGAGAAGGCCTGAAAGGCAGCGGATTTCCTGAGCTGAACAGCAGTGCTGGCCCCAGTCGCACCCAGCGGGGGTTCAAGTTGACGTGGGAAGTCATGTTTTCCTTGCCGATAGAGTGGTGGCTTTAGAAAATCTCTGAAAGTCTGGAAATCCAGTAAATCTATTTCTGGTGCGTTATCAACTGATGCCAGAACTCTGTAATTATTTCTGGTTGTTTTTTTTTACTTTTAAAAGAACACCAATGAGCATAGTCTCTGTCATTCAGTCATTTATTTAAACTTGGAACGGGCCCACATGTCCTTGTGCAAATGAAGAGCAGCTCAATGTAATTAGCATTCCCTGAGCCTTCGTGGATTAGTATTAGCAAGTGCAACTTTTTCCCCTTGAATGTTTTACAGAGGTTTTGTGAGCTTTTTACATCAGCTAGCTTGTCTTTTCAATTTTCTATTATACCTTTTGTAATTGCTTTCTGTCTATAGTTGATATGTTGTTGCTTTACTCCAGTAACTTCCATTACCACTTTTAACTGTGTGCTATTACTGGGATCAACATGATTGCATTATTTACTCTGTTTGCTTTAAATATCACTTTTTCCTGCTTCTACCCCCTCCTCTCCCACCATCTTTCTGGGAGCATTTGAGCTTAGCAACATGATGCTGTCTGAAGTCTTATTTGTTACCTTCGTAGCCTAAGACCATGATTACGTTAAGCCCAATGATAGATTATCATAAAGCACTAAACACCCACCAGACTGTTATTGAATTTATCATATCTAGGAGCTCAATAAACAGTGAAAGATAAACCTGTTTTTTACTGCCAGTGGAAAGCCGCAGGTTGATTCCTCCTTTAATTCTCATCTTTGTCGATACCAGAATAATTAAATCCCCATCACAAAGACTCCAGTTTCTTCATAGGTCTCTCATCACACTAAGGCCAGCTACTTTTTTTTTTTTTTTTTTTTTTTTTTTTTAAAGCGTGGGGTTGTGGTAAACCACCACCAAATTCCCACTCCAAGCTTTCCTACTCTGAGGCACAGAAGGAACTAATGGGGGCTTAAGTAAAACCCGTGAGAAGGAGCCATTTGAGCTATTTTGTTCCGACGGGCTCTAGTGTTCACTGCACTGAAGCAGTTTCTACAGCAGTCATTAGGTATCGCGGTCGTTAGGCGCCGTGTTCACGCACTCCGTTCTGTACCGTGGGGCTGCGCGGGGATGCTGCGCGGGCCTCCTCTGCCCTTTCCCGAATCCACGGGATGTGGCAGACGGGGACGGCTTCTCTTTGCGGCCGAACTGGGAGCTCGCTGCGGGCTGGGCCGGGCGGGTTCCTGCTGTGCTGACGGGCCTGACGAAGCT